CTGCTGGTGGGAATGCAAGCTGGTGCAGCCACTCTGGAAAACAGTATGGAGGTTCCTCAAAAAGTTGAAAATAGAGCTACCCTACGACCAGCAATTGCACTACTGGGTATTTACCCCAAAGATACAAATGTAGTGATCTTAAGGGGTACGTGCACCCCAATGTTTATAGCAGCAATGTCCACAATAGCCAAACTATGGGAAGAGCTTAGATGTCCATCGACAGATGAATGGATAAGGAAGATGTGGTATATATATATAATGGAATATTATGCAGCCATCAGAAAAGGGAAATCTTGCCATTTGCAATGACGTGGATGGAACTAGAGGGTATTATGCTGAGCGAAATAAGTCAGTCAGAGAAAGACAAGTATCATATGATCTCACTGATATGAGGAATTTGAGAAACAAGACAGAGGATCATAGGGGAAGGGAGGGAAAAATGAAACAAGATGAAACCGGGGATGGAGACAAACCATAAGTGACTCTTAATCTCAGGAAACAAACTGAGGGTTGTTGGAGTGGAGGGGCGCAGGAGGGATGGGGTGGCTGGGTGATGGACATTGGGGAGGGTAGTTATTATGGTGAGCGCTGTGAATTGTGTAAGACTGATGAATCACAGACCTGTACCCCTGAAACAAATAATACATTATATGTTAATAAAAAAATTTTTTTAAAGACAATGCAAGCTACCACTAATAATCGCTTTTGCTAATGGGTCATTATGTCATCTTTGGTATATGACACAGAAGGACTTAGAAGACTTGAGTGACATTTTCATTACTAATTTCTTTCCTGTCCCATTTGTGTGAACAAGAGTTCTCAGCCCAAACATCTATAAAAATGACAGATAAGAAAGAACTGATGAGGGAACCCTCCCTTGTTCAATCAATGTCATCGTCATCCACAGACAGATGATGTCGAGGGAGATGTGTCTGTCGGCTCTGTTCAAACAAAACTTCAGGAGCTCTTAACACGTGCCCAACTTGAAGAACTTTGGAGCCACTTTCAATGCTGAAGGCTGTGATTCTAGGGTCAGCGACCTGCCCACTCGAGGATGCTGCGTCCTATTCTTAATTTCGGCTCAGATCATGATCTCAGGGTCTTGGGACCAAGACACACCTCAGGCTACAGGCTCAGTGTGGAGTCTGCTTGTCCTCTCCTTCTGTTCCTCCTCACCCCACCCCTGTTCTCTCTCTCTCAATAGATAAATTAATTTTTAAAAAGTGAAAGAGGGAGGCAAAAGTGGAGTCAGAGAGAGACATGAGGACAGAAGCAGGGCCAACGTTGCTGGCTTTAACACGGAAAAAGGGCTACAAGCCAGGGAATGTAGGTGGCTTCTTAAAGCTGGAAAAGGCAAGAGAATGGATTCTCCCTAGAGTTTTCAGAAAAGACTACACTAAATTTGTGGTCATTTCTTATAGCAGCACAGGAAACCAAGACAGCAGTAAGTGATGGAGTCCAGATTCAGACCCGAGTGTTCTGATACCCAAATCTGCTGCCCTCTTCCCTATAGGGTTACATTGCTTTGACTCTGACCCCTCCCTGACCCTCCGTTGTGAGTTAGGTGTCTGTTTTTCCCTTTTTTTTCCCCCCGTTTTTCACCACATGGTGTCTCTAGTGTCCATTCCTAGCAGCTCTCACCCCAGGGCCTTTGCACTGGCTGTTCCTTCTGTATAGAAAGCTTTTCCCTCAGATATCTGAATAGCTTACTCTCTAATTCCTTGAGTCTTTGTTCAGATACCATCCTATTTAAAGTCAGAAGCACCTACCACCACTGCTGCACAATCTCTATTCTTCCTCCCTACTTAATTTTCCCCAAAGCATTTATCATCACGTAGCATGCTATATGCTTATTAACTTGTTTATTGTAAAAGCCATCAGGAAAGGGAGTTCTGTTTTTTTGTTCACTGCAGTATCCTCAGACACTGGAGGAGAGCCTGGCACATGGTGTGCTCAGAAAGTATTTGCTGAATGAATCGTGAGATGGGATGATGAGGTAGGAATTAGGTAGTGATGGAAAGAGAGGTGAGATGAAAAATGACAGAGTCAGAGCAATAAGACTTGACCACTGAGCTGGCTGGGGCTGGGAGAGGGAAAAGGGGAAGCTTCTGGCTTAGGTCTCTGAATGGTGTCATCAGCCAGGATAAAATATACGTGAGGGTGAACAGGTCCTAGGTGAAGATGCTAAGTTTGGTTTTGGATATTTGCAGGGCATCAATGCATGTGTGTGTTTGTGTGTGTACAGAGATACAGAGAGGAGAATACACACATACTCAAACACAAGTAAAAGTACATATGTACTATATACATTGTGAAATTCGATATTCTGTTTAAATTCCTGGATATTCTAAACACAGCCTAGTCTAATTACAAAAAAATATTATTTCTACATGTGAGCAAGACAAAAGTAACTAATGTGACTCTTCATAATCTTCTGAAGGATTTGGACATTCCATACAATCTTCCCAGCCCCACCCTTTTTTTCTAGGGCAAAAGGATATTCCCTGATTGGGCCAGTTCCTGTGCCCCTTTTCTGAGGGAAATCCAAGAAATTGGTAAAACACAGCTAAAACTAAGGAGAGTAGAGAAGTTTATCTACATAATGAATAGCTAAGAGGAAGCAGGAAGGGGATGGAAAGACTGCAGCACTTGCTGCTTGGGGAGGTTGGAAGCTGCAAGAGTCAGGGTTGCAGAGCTGGCTGTCAATGGGGTGGAGAATATTGACAGGGTCAGCAATAGGGAGAAAAGAGATGAATGTGTTTGCTGTGCATTAAGGCCCTTCTCAATGCAGGTCCTCCAGAATTTTGTTTTTCTTTCGTATTATCAGCCTGTGTTTGTTTGAATGTGACACCACCTCAGGAATTACACTTCTTCGGGTTACCCACAGATTGCTTAGACATTCCATACAACTCTGGCATTTCTCTCAGCATTCAGGAAGGGAGAGTTCTCCTGCCCTCCCCCTGTCATACCACTTCATGTATCATGTAGACGCCACATTTGCTAGTGGAGTTCAACTGTGTCAAGACTTTCTATTATAGTATTTTAATGATGATGAAAAAGAGTAATTTCCTATATTTTGTACCTATTGTGTGTGAATTAGTGAAATATTTTTAGCATTTCACAACTAAAATCCCTAAATTGATTAGGAGCAGGACAAACAACAAAAAACAAAAAAGAATTCATCTCTCCAGTTCAGCAACATGCAGCATTTTGAGCACCTGTTATGGAAGTTTCCAGAGGCCAAGGGGATGCTTGCTCTCTTTCTAATGTCCTGCTGGATGTAATAAATGATCAACTTTACCAACTAGGTGCAAGATTAGTTATTTTGAGACAACATTTGGCATCATCACAAGTCACAAATCGTCAAGGGGGAAAAAAAACATCTAGGTAACTCATTAGACAAGGAAATACTCTCAGATGATCATGTTTATTCCAGAGACCACATAATGGCTTATATGTTGATCCAAAAGTATATGTCAACTTCACAGTTCCAAATCCCATTCCAGTTCTTGGAGCAGTAAGTGAAGTTCACAGTTACGATTTTTGCATATTTTAAATATTTTATATTTTCACAATCGTCTTAGTTCTTTTTACGTCTAGGTCATTGTCCCAAATTGTTGACAATAGCCTAATAACTCCGATTTAAATTTTTTTTAAGTAAGATATTCACAAGATTCACATTTTGCTTATAAGTTACCTCGTTGCCCCACCGATATAAGCCCTTCGAACGCGACTCCCGCAGCGAGAGATTTGGTTCCTGTCGGCTTCCGTAGCCTCCCTCGGCAACTTCCGTTTCTGACGGCCGCCTTGGTGGATGCACTTCCGGCAGCGGTTGTTCGAGCGGCCGAAGCAAGATGGTGAGTGACTAAGGGTTTCGGTCGGTGATCGCGGCGCGACGGGGTCGGAGCCGGCCGAGACGAGAGCACGAGACGGCTGCCCGAGGCACTCGGTCCGTCCGCTCTCCTGCCTGGTCTTCTCGGGGGACGGAGACTCCCGGAGACAGTGCTTGGGTCCGCCGCGGCCCGGGGCCGACCAGAGGGCCTGGCCCGGGGCACCTGGGGCCGGGGCTCGGCGCGAAGGGTACCCCGGGCTGACTAGTGGGGCGGCAGAGCGGGTCAGGGCGCCCGGCTTTGCTGCTCCGCCGACCCGGGCCCTGCAGACCGGCGCGGGAGCCTCCCGAAGCACCTGGGGACGAGTGCTTTCTGAGCCGCTCAGGTGAAGGGCTGCGCGTCTGGAAGAGAGGGAGGGATTCGTTCCGGCTGAGCAGGGGAGAGCGCGGTCGTGCAAGATCGCTCGGAGTGGGGCACTTGGAGGAAGCCTTAAAGACTGACGCTTTTACGACAGGTGGAACTCGGAGGGAACGCTCCTGTGGTGCATTAGGAATAATAAAAACAGCTGGCATGTATTCGTTAGTCTACTAAGCAGGTATTTACTGAGCACCTGCAAATGGCGGGGTTGGGGGGAGGCGGTGGGCAGGCTCTTGGCTCTAGGCCCTGAGGGCACAAGGGGTGAGTATGACTACCGAAGTCTCTTTCTTCTTGGAACTTGCATTCTGGACAAGGCAGACAAAAGCCGAAAGAGAGACGTGTAATGTGATGACATGGAGCGGGATAGAGATGGGTGGGATGGCCATTGTTACAGGGCTGTTTCCTAGAAAGGAATGGGATGGGAGGGGTGGCTGTTTTACATAGGGTATCAGCAAAGGTCCCTCTGAGGAGGTGACATTTGAGCAGCAGAGATCGAAGTAAAATGAGAGAGTATCCTGTGCAAACATCTGAGGGAAACGTGGTCCAGGCAGAAGGAATAGTAAGCGCAAAGGGCCTGAGATGGGAATCTGTTGAGCCTGTATCCTGAACATCAGGAACGCCTGAGCATGTAGTGGGATAGATCTTATAAGGACTTTGGGGTAATGTTCTAAGCATGTGCCAGGTACTTTTCCAGCACTATTATTGAAGTATAACTGACAGGCAGTGTTCCATTAGTTTCAGGTGGACAACGCAGTGACTGGACAAGCCTATATACCATGCTGTGCTCACAGGTGTAGCCACCAGCTGTCACTATACGATGCTATCACAATATTATTGACTGTATTCCCTGTATGTGCTGTACCTTTGTACCATTTATCCCTGTGACTTACACATTTTATAACTGGCAGCCCGTACCTTCCACTCCGCTTCTCCCATTTTGCCCAGCCCCCACCCCCTTTCCTCTGGCAGTCACCAGTTCTCTGTGTTCATGGGTCTGTTTCTGCTTCGTTTGTTTATGATTCCACATATGAGTGAAATCATGTGGTATTTGTCTTTCTCTGTCTGACTTCACTTAGCTTAATACCCTCCGGGTCCATTAATGTTGCAAATGGCAAGATCTGTTTGTCTTGGTTTTTTTTTAGTGGCTGAGTAATATCCATGTGTTTGTGTGCATTACACACCACATCTTCTTTATCCATTCATTTATCAGTGGGCACTTAGGTTGCTTCCATATCTTGGCTACTGTAAATAATGCTGCAATAAATGTAAGGGTATTTTCCAGCATTTTCTTATTCTTCACAGCAGTCCTTGCAGTAATTCTTATCCTCACTTTACCAAAGAGGAAACTGAGACTCAGTATGTGGCTGTGCTGTAACAACAAACCCTGTTAGTGTTTTCTAAAGGACATGCGGTAGAGAAACACACAGATATGGGTGTCCAGTAGACCTGAGTGATTCCCAGCCACATCTCTGACAAGTTCTGTGATACTGGGCCTTGGTTTCCCTATCCGTAAACTAGAGGTAATGATAGTACCAACCTCATGGTGTAAGAATTAAACGAGATGATACCGTGAGAATGTACACTGCTTGCCATATAGTAAGGCCTTAATAATGGGTATATTTCTTATTGTTATTGGAGACTGAGAAACATCATGTAAAATGCCCCACACATGAAGAGGTTTGGGACCTGTTCAGGAAAATGTCCTCCTGTGGGGCCAGACCTGCAGGATCATGAGAAAGGTAGATGAACGTGGGAAGGGTCAGTCGCAGCCAGTTTGGCAAGAGCCAGGTATGCCACTGTAAAAAGTTTGGACATTACACCATAAATGCTAGGGAACAGTTGAAGGTTTTTGAGGAGAATGAAAGGATTAGCTCTTTGTTTTAGAAGGTAATAGCTGGATTGGTGAGGGGACAAACTGTTGTGGGAATCTCAGTTGGGAGGCTAGAGTCCTGGATAATTGGATTATTCACCAATAACAGTGTATTGCTAGTAGTTACTTTGAGTCACACAAATGCTGAGTGGTTTATGTGCATTACCTCATTTTCAGTAACAGGAGCTAGTATCATCCCCACTTTCCAGTTAAGGGTGCCAAGGCTCAGGGAGGTGACCTGACTTACCTGAGGTCACATAGCCTATTAGTGATGGAGTCAGAATTGAAACCTGCATGCATCTAATTCCATAGCCCATGTTCTTAGGCTTGTTGCAGTTCCTCATCTAGAAAGTGGGAATAATGAACCCTACCCTACCTTGAAGGATGGTGTAGAATTAATGAGATAGTGAAGGAAAATGTCTAGTATAGACTTAGTCACATAGTAAGAAACCCACAAACATTAGCTGCCCCAGCCAACAGCAAATTTCTTTAGGAGGTAGAAGTAAGTAATTGTTAAAGGCCTATAATTTGGACAGCCTATTGCAGTATAACTAATTCTGTTAACCAAAATTTCTCAGAGCTCTTAAATACCTTCTTCAGAGTAAAGCACAAAATTTTAAGAATCCTGCATGTAGGGAAATATATTTGACCCTAACTCTTTTAGGTAACCATGATATGGTTGTTCTGTCTTGATAATTTAGCTGGCAGTGTATTAATTTAGAGGTGCTTATGTGTAAGTGATTTGAGGGGAATAAAGGGGCCCCTTTATTCAAGTAAGTTCACTATTACTTAAAATGCTATCATTTTTGAGATTCTGTTCGGTGTTAAGCATTGCCTTGTAACTGAGTGGTCTGTTTTAAAGTCCAGAATCCCATGAGCTTATTAACACACTGAATTCTTGATAAAGAATTCAGCTTTTCAGGTTGGCAAAAAGACCTGCCTGAGAGCCCGAGGCTTTAAAGATGGGAGGTATATAAGTTGATATTGAAAGGAAAGTCTCCTGAGTCTTGGTGTGATCTTAATAAGGAGTAAATGATTGATAAATGATTGTTGAATAGGTAAAATTATTTAGCTTTGATGGCCTAATTTCATGAAATATACTCAGTCAAGTAGTTTTATTTTCATTTTTTTAAAGATTTTATTTATTTGAGAGAGAGAGAGAGAGAGCGCACATGAGAGGGGGGAGGGTCAGAGGGAGAAGCAGACTCCCTGCTGAGCAGGGAGCCCGATGTGGGACTCGATCCTGGGACTCCAGGATCATGACCTGAACCGAAGGCAGTCGCTTAACCAACGGAGCCACCCAGGCGCCCAGTCAAGTAGTTTTATAATAAAGAATGTCAAGCTCTATATTTTCCCCTCAAAAAGGGGTAGTCTTAGAATCCCAGCCTCATCATGATACAGATGTTACATCAGATTCTTAATAGAATCGTCCTTGATTTAAGATGCAATCAGTTGCAAGGAAACTAACAGCTTTTCAGGAAAAAAAAAAGTTCTGCTATGCTAAATGTACGTGTTGACTACAGGGTACACCTTAAGTTCAGAGATGTTAAAATGAGGGGGAAGTCTTGGTGTCTTAGAATCAGGAAAATAAAAAGGATGTTCTTTTGAAGTGATCATATTCTGAATGTATACCTCTGATTTCTTTTTTCAGGGTCAGAGTCAGAGTGGTGGTCATGGCCCTGGAGGTGGCAAGAAGGATGACAAGGTAAATAAGCCAGATAGGTCTGTGATGCAAGTAAATCATGGAACATATCCTAGATCTCAGTTGAGAAGTTCTTTGGGGATTCGTGACTTTGAAAATGCAAAATAAGTGATCCTGTAGTTATTTACCCAGCCTGGCCTACAGGTTCAGTGTCCTCTTCATGTTTTAGAAAAGATTATTGACCTGTCAAGTAAGTAGTTATGAATTAATGGTTTTTAAATGTATAAAATAACATTACAAAGTGTTAAATTGCCTGTAATTTTAGTGTTTAATTTCTTCAGATGTGAAGAATTGTCTCAAATTATCTCAGCTCAAACTTTTGGTATATAATTCTGAATTCTGACCTCTAGTCCTTATTGAATAACCATCACTGTGTATTATAAAAAGAAAGATCAGTTACGTTCACCAATTAAAATTGCAGGAATGTAATACCTACTTTGTTTTTTAAAGATTTTAGTTATTTGAGAGAGAAAGAGAGAGAGACAGAGCAGGGGAAGGGGCAGAAAGAGAGAGAGAGAGAGAAACACTCCCTGATGAGCACGGAGCCCGACGTAGGGCTCTATCTCATGATCCTGAGCCAAAACCAAGAGACAGACGCTTAACTGAGCCACCCAACTAGTTTAATTTTTAAAAGGACAGTTTTTAATAGCATTCTGAAAGATAAGGAAAATTACAGCCACTAGAAATAGATGATGGTCCTACAGAAAGAAGTTTGTGTTTTGATATGATTTGTGTGGTTTTTGTTTTTCCTGCTCTTCTAAAAATTCAAGGACAAGAAAAAGAAATATGAACCTCCTGTACCAACTAGAGTGGGGAAAAAGAAGAAGAAAACAAAGGGACCAGATGCTGCCAGCAAACTGCCACTGGGTAATGACACAGTCCCTCCTTGCTGTCTCTTGATTCCATTGGGAACTCTCTGTATGTAGCTTAGAGGTCTGAATATGGAGGCAAGAAATGGGGTGGCTGAAGCTCTGACTCTTCTGTGGGGCACTCCAGGACACTGGAATAAAAGCTATAGTTTAGTTTTAGCAGCGTACAAAAAGTATACAGCTGTGTCTTACTTTAAGAAACTCCACTAATAAAAATTAAAAAAAAAAAAAATTCCACTAATTTCCTTTAACCGGCTCCTCTAATGTTTGAAAAGCGTAGTTTTAGGTTAGAAAACTCAGGTTGAGCTTGAATAACTTAGAAACACACTTTTTCCATGAAGAAATGGAATGCCATTGTGTTGGAATTCACATCTTGTGATACATGAACAAACTGTTTCAGTGACTTCGTACTGGACATAGACTAAACCTCAGACCGGGTGACCTGACCCAGGCCACCTCTCCATCCTCAGCCCCTGCCATTCCCCTTGCTCTTTGTTCACACAGCCCTGCCTTGTGTTCTTTGACTCTTATGCACATTAGGACTTTTTTTTTTTTTGAGAGAGAGAGAGAGAGAATGAGCACACGTGCACAGGTGGGGATGTGGAGGCAGGGTGGGGAGGGGCGGGGGGGGAGAGAGAGAATCAAGCAGGCTCCATGCCCAGTGCAGAGCCCAACCATGGGGGCTTGATCTCATGACCCTGAGATCATGACCTGAGCCAAAATCAAGAGTTGGATGCTTAAGCGACTGAGCCACCCGAGATAACCCACACATTAGGACTTTTGCCCTTTGCTTAAAAATGTTCTTCCCTTGGGGTGCCTGGGTGGCTCAGTGGGTTAAGCATCCGACTCTTGATTTCAGCTCAGGTCATGATCTCAGGGTCATGGGATCAAACCCCATGTTGGGCTCTGCGCTCAGCTGGGAGTCTATCTCTCTCTGCCCCTCTCCTCCCCCCTCCTCTGTGCTCTCTCTCTAAAAATAAATAAATCTTTAAAAAAATGTTCTCCCCCAGTCCTTCCCATGACTGCCTGCTTCTCATCACTGAGGCTCACATAATCTCCCCCACCCCCATCTAAACAAGTCTCTTCCTGCTGAGATGAAATAATTTTTAAAATATTGCTTGGTTAAGGATGGAAGGGAGCCAGACAATGAAAAACATGCCATTAATCTACCATAATGAATCAATATGGTATCGGTAAAGAATAGGTCATCAGATTGCCAGAAGAGCATAGGAGTCTGAAAACAGTCAAATTACATGGATAATGAGTATATGGTAAAGGTGACGTTTGAGTTCTCTGGGGAGAGGGTGAGTTGTTTAACATAAATGGCTGGCATCTTTATTTGCTATTGAGAGAAAATGAAATTAGACCCCTTGCTTTTTGCCAGATGGATTACAGATATGAAAATAAATAAATGAAAAATTAGGAATATATTTAACCTTAGGGAAGGAGAGACATTTTGAAGAAACCCAGAGACCACAAAGGAAAAAATTGACATTTTTTGAGACTTTAAGCCAAAAGAAACAACACAAAAGAGTATGGAAAAAATGCTTGCCACATATGTTAATATCATTAATATTTCACAGTTCTCCCAGGGGTGGATTCCTAAGCTCGCCTACAGCAATGTATTCTGACCGGACAGCACTTGTACCTATTTTTATTAACACAGATGGGGAATCAAAAACCAAAGCAAACAATCTTTGGGATTGTTGAGTTCTTTTTTTCTTACAGTTCACTTAGCAGATGTCATTCAGACCTCGTCCCTGTTTTTATCTGCTTGCTTACAACTGCCAAAGTCCCTTTTCCCTTAGCATCTAGGCACCTGCTTACGTAGGGTCACCAAACCTTGAATTTTTCAGTCTGTTCAACTAAAATCAGTTTATTTTAAGTCTTAACCTTTTTTCCTTAAGAACGAACTTAATTGCAAACTTCAAGCTCCAAATAGAATGAAACTTTCTTTTTAATTACAGTGACACCTCACACTCAGTGCCGGTTAAAATTATTGAAGTTAGAGAGAATTAAAGACTATCTTCTCATGGAGGAAGAATTCATTAGAAATCAGGAACAAATGAAGCCTTTAGAAGAAAAGCAAGAGGTAATTGAGAAATTACTGTAACTTTTGTTTTACAAATTAACAGTTTTCAGTACTAAATAGAATTCAGTGAATAAATGAAATTCAAGTAGTTGGCCCATTCGGACTGGCTGCCTTTTAAAAGCATCATCTGCTTTGTAAATGTAGTAAAATCTGGTAAAACTATCAGCCTCATCTGCTTTTTAGGTCTAATCTGCTTTTCCTTCATGGCGTATTCTTACATAGGAGGAAAGATCTAAGGTGGATGATCTGAGGGGGACCCCAATGTCAGTAGGAACCTTGGAAGAGATCATTGATGACAATCATGCCATCGTGTCTACATCTGTGGGCTCAGAACACTACGTCAGCATTCTTTCCTTTGTAGACAAGGATCTGCTGGAACCAGGCTGCTCTGTCCTGCTCAACCACAAGGCAAGTTGATGGTCTCTAAGTCCCTAGGAGTGCTTTCTCCTTCCTCTCAGATCTGTCCATTTGTGCCGCTCTGCGATTGGCGTTGTTTTGCTGTGAATGGATTACGTGAACCTCACATTTCTGCATTAAAACTTAATGTTCTCTGTTAGGTGCATGCTGTCATAGGGGTGCTCATGGATGACACGGATCCCTTGGTCACAGTGATGAAGGTAGAAAAGGCGCCCCAGGAAACCTATGCTGATATTGGGGGGTTGGACAACCAAATCCAGGAAATTAAGGTACGTCTAAGAACCAGCTCTGGGTTTCTAGGTTTTTGGTTTCTTACTACAATCTCATTTAGGGTGCTTAGAGTTATTTTGCATATTTTGTTTTTTTCTTTAGTGATCAAACCAGTAACTGACTCAGAGCTTGCCAATCGTGGAGTATTGTATTTGTTAATCTGAGTTAGGTAATAGAAACAACAAATTGTATGATTGTTCCTGCAGCAGCTGCAGCTTCATCCTTTTTAGGTGCAATGTTTACTTATTATCTGTGTGGATATATGATGTTTCTGTTTGTGTTGACTTCAGCTGGGGCTATCTGGAAACCTCCAGTGATGTGTGGGTTGAAGGGAAGTGGTCTTTTAGGTTGGCTGTGAGCCAGCCATCTCATCTGTAGGGGGTCATGCAGAGCTGTCACTGGTCACCGCCAGTGACCTCGCAGACAGCTGGGAAGTAGCCATCATGTCTGTTGGTGTAACAGCAATCAGAAAGTCTTGCCGGCTCCTGTCTGTAGTTTTAACTGAAAACGGTGTATTTTCACTTTAAGTTCCTTCTGCTCAGGACGAGCTTAAATGTTGCTCAAGGCTGACTTCTATGAGAAGGTGAGAGGGAAACTGGGTGCAATAGGAAGGGGAACTCAGGGAGGACAGATGTCCTCTTGTCTGTCCCTGCTGCTAGATGAAGTCAAGCATATTGTCTCTAACAAGAGTAAGTGACATTTTAGCTTATTGTTGTTGAAAGTGAGATATATCCAAGATGCCAATTCATGGATCTGATAATTCTAGGGACAAAGCATTTCATTTTTACCAAGTATTTGTTTTCAATAGGAATCTGTGGAGCTTCCTCTCACTCATCCTGAATATTATGAAGAGATGGGTATAAAGCCCCCAAAAGGGGTCATTCTCTATGGTCCACCTGGCACAGGTACGTATGGTCTGTGTTTGACACTTTCTGGGCGTTCAGCTAATCTCTTGAGCTGTGCATTAGTTAGTCATAATTATTTAATTCTTGAGTAAGGATGCCACCATTCCTTAGTTTAAAACAAGGTTTTCTAAACATTTTGGACATTTTCTGAGTAAATATGGAAATGTACCTATTACATAAAAGTGTATTTATCTGTATAGTAGATGCTAAAAAACGGAATTACCTTAGACTTGAAATTGTAGACTTAATAGATTTAATGTGTTAAAAACAATAGTAGGAATTGCAACAAAAAATAAGCACCAGTAGGTAAACCCCACCCCGCAAATGCCTGCTCAATGTGAATGCATTTATAGTTTCTTAGGACTCCTCTCTGTACTTCAATATATTAGATTTATATGCTATAAAACATAAGACTTTCAAGTACTCATAAGAGTAATGTGAGTCTATTAAAAGTAGTTTATAAGACACAAACCGGGATGCTCAACCTTGGCTGTACATTGGAATCACTTTGGAGCTTTAAAAAATACCGATGCCTGCTCCCATCCCTAAAAATTCTGATCTGTTCATCTGGAGTGTGGCTGGGTATCAGAGCCATGGTGGAGAACCACAGATTTAAAAGCTATTCTGTGCTGTTCAGATTGGGTTCATTCTCTGGTCCACTGTACTGAATGAATAGAATATTGGATGAAGAGATGCAGGTAAAAATGTACATTTGGTTCATTATGCAATTAGCTGACCTGAATAAGTTGTACAGTCCAGGACTTAGCAGTTCACTGCCATGTAAATTCCAAAGGAAGCACAGTTATTTGAGTGAAGGCATCACTGAGGATTGCCCACAGTGGAGGCACTGGGAGACGACTGAACTGAGAGGCGTGGAGCTTTTTTGCAGCTCATCATCTTACAGGCCAGGAAATTCAGAGAGGCCAGCGACTAGCCCAAGGCCGCAGGAGCTCTGGGAGTTGAGCCCGTAGTGGGGCTGGAGGTGCAGCTGGGGGCCGCCTTTGGTGCACGTGCACCGCCAGGGACCAATGCGGGGCGAGGCACAGGGTGGCAGGCCGTCTGGAGGAGGAAGAGCCTGGCTCGGTGGTCCCGCCAGCTACTTAAGTGTCCCAGCGGCTGGCCGAGGCTGCTCCTGGACTCAGAGGCCATCCACTTAGGAGGTCCTTTTCGTCTTCCGTTCACCACACCTCACTGGTAGTATCGGGGAAGTCCATGCTTCTGAGCCCGCACACCTGCCCCTCCTCCTGCGACGTTTTGTCTCAAAGCTTAGGGCCTTGTCCTCCTTCCCACTTGAACTAAGTCTTCTGTGTCACTCACCAGCAGCCTCTGCCCCCTCCCCCCTGCAGGCCTAAGCTTGGTCCTTTATGGGCTCTGCCTCTAGCTGCCCGGGTCCTGATGCCACTGCTTGGCCCTGTGCCCATGTCCTCACATCAAAGGGGTCAAGGTCTTCCAGCCCTAAAGTTCACAGGGTGGCTGCCACAGCTCTTGTATTTGACCTGAAATAGAAATATCAAGGAATGGGGCAGGATTGGAAATGTTTGAGCTCATCCCTGAGAGGAACGATCCTCACGAGGGCACACCAGAGACTGAGAAGTCTCTAAGAGCTTTCAGTAGTTCTCAGTTGTGGGCTTCATCGGGAGCTGGTCCTGTCTCAGCTGAGCCCTGGGCAAGCCCACCCAGCACAGCCGTGACTCTCAGCCTCAGGGATCGCCAGCCTGGTGCTCCAGATGAGAGTGTGTTTCCTTAGGTCAGACCTAGGGTTCCCAGGCCATTTTCCCATCACGGATAGTTTCATAGGAATTGAGTTTGGATCTCTAACCCTGGTTGCATGGGTCAGGTTAATAATCTATGCAACTCTGAATAACCCAGTAAAATGTACTTTCTGACATTGTAATGAAGAATTAGGAAGATAGTTAAAAATAATCAAAATGTTATTTAGGTTTTTCCTCGATTTTCTCTTACCTGCCTCGGAGAATGTTAAGACCCCTGAATAGGGGTATGCCTTTTCAGTCACAGGGATCTGCCCATTTCTGATGCCCATTTAAGTAACAGTTTTTAAGTTAAAACAGCACTTAAGGGTTTTTTTCTTTCTCTTTTTCTTTTTAAATATAAAATAGGTAAAACCTTATTAGCCAAAGCAGTAGCAAACCAAACCTCAGCCACTTTCTTGAGAGTGGTTGGCTCTGAACTTATTCAGAAGTACCTAGGTGACGGGCCCAAACTCGTTCGGGAATTGTTTCGAGTTGCGGAAGAACACGCACCATCCATCGTGTTTATTGATGAAATTGATGCCATTGGGACAAAGAGGTACACTTCTCTCTTACTTTGTGTTGAGCAGAGATAAAAACCCCGGAGCTCTTCTCTGAGAATGATCATTGAGTACTCCCTGTATGGCCTGCATGTGGGTTTGCCACAGTTCCTATGATACGTGGTGCTCTGGGTGCTTTAGGCTCCTCTCTCCCAGGTGCCAGGTAACCACCACCCAGGAGTTGTGACTGCCTGGAGATTCGTCTGTAACTGTGTCCTGAGGTGGAGCCAGGCCTCATCTAGACTTTAGGGATACAGCCACTGTACACAAGCCTCTGCCCTTAAGGAGCTCCCGGTAGGGTTGGGGGCTCAGATAGCAAACATGGAGACTGAACTAATGATATAATCTCAGGCATGAAAATTTCTACAATTTAAACAACATGATCTGGCAATTGGGAGGGCATGATTTTGTTGCTAGAATTGAGGGCATCAGAATTTGAGTCAGAGGCGTTTCTTTCATTTCCCCTTCAGCAGATCAGTTAGGTTTTCACTCTTCTTTTTCAAAGATATGACTCAAATTCTGGTGGTGAGAGAGAAATTCAGCGAACAATGTTGGAACTGCTGAACCAGTTGGATGGATTTGATTCAAGGGGTGACGTGAAAGTTATTATGGCCACAAACCGAATAGAGACTTTGGATCCGGCCCTTATCAGACCAGGTCAGATTGCTTGTTCCATCGGGGACAGCTACCGTGTTTATGTGTGACTGTGTTTAAGTGCACGGGCAGGGGATTTAAGAATGATACATATCAAGGCAAATACGTGATTGAAGTGCAGAGTAACTTACTGAAAACAGTGTCCCCCGAGGTCGTGGTTAAGCGAGGACATGATGCAGTGGGTGTAGCGTGGCCGTTTTAATTCCAATCTTAAGTTGTGATCTTTTCTCTTTCCCATAATGGATATTCTTTTTTCTGAAGGAATAATTCATATGCTAACTCAGGTTCATTTTTTTACATTCAGGTCACACCAGGAAGCAACAGTAGCTAATTTGTTTATGCTTTTGTAATGTTTTTAACATGCTCTTTTTCCACTATATAGGCCATTCAGGAGCCATTCCTTTATTTCTAAGGGTACCAGAGCAGAGAGGATTTCTTTTAAATGGGATGAATTCAAATGTAGACATTTACAAACTACAGGAAGGATGTTCACTTTTCAGGATTTGGACCCCTGTCTGACTGAAACAGCGTGAGTGAGGACACGGGCTCGGGCCCGCCTGGGGGCTATGCAGGGCTGTGACTGGAAACCTTTTCTACCCGCAGGTCGCATTGACAGGAAAATTGAGTTCCCCCTACCCGATGAAAAGACTAAAAAGCGCATCTTTCAGATCCACACAAGCAGGATGACGCTGGCCGATGATGTGACCCTGGATGACTTGATCATGGCTAAAGATGACCTCTCCGGTGCCGACATCAAGGTGAGAACCTGGGTTGTACCTCTCAGTTTCGTGTGTGTGTGTGTGTGTGTGTGTGTGTGTGTGAGTGAGAGAGAGAGTGAGAGAAAGAGCGCGTGCGCACAAGTGCAAGGCCTGGCAGCACTGAATCTGGGTCCAGCCTGCTCTTTATGTGAGGACCTGGGTTCTTGTCAGGTGTAAGTGCCACGGTCAGGTCAGGACAGCACCCGTGGGGCCTTTTCACGCTGGTGCCTGCACTGAGCTGCGTATCCTTGGCCTCTATAGAACTTTTACTCACCAACACAGAACTAGGTTAGTATCTGTGTTGGTGGGGTAAAAGCTTTTTTTTTAAGATCCCATTCGTCAGAGCGTGTGCGCACGAGCAGGGGGAGCAGAGGGAGAGGGAGAAGCAGACTCCCCACTAAGCAGGGAGCCCGATGTGGGGCTCGATCCCAGGACCCCAAGACCATGACCCACGCCGAAGGCAGGCAGACACCCAACTGACTGAGCCACCCAGGTGCCCTGTAAAAGCTCTTTTTAAAATTGAAATTATTTTGGGCTCCTGGGTGGCTCATTCATTAAGCGTCTGCCTTTGGTTCAGTTCATGATCCCAGGACCGCCTCACATCGGGCTTCCCTGCTCGGTGGGGAGCCTGCTTCTCCCTCTCCCACTCCCCCTGCTTGTGTTCCCTCTCTCACTGTCAAAATCTTTTAAAAAAAAAAAATTGAAATTTCATTTTAAAATTTTACACCAACTTTGTATTTTGAAAAATTTGAAGTCTTCAGAAAAATTGCAACAATAGTAAATACCAGTATACCCACCACCTTGATTTTTCAAATGTTACCATTTTACTGCTTTATCTTTTGTTCACAAATACACTTTCTTTTTTGCTGAACCATTTGAAATATCCTCAGGGCCATAACCAGATAGAAAATTCAATGCCAGGATTGTGTTTCTGTCACATCATGTTGAGTGGGTTCTTGTTTTACTTTTGGCAAGTGATGACTGAAAAAATAAATGTATCACAGTAAATACTGTCCTGAGACTTACAATTAGCCAGAATAGTGTTCTCTTCTGACCATGGGTAAATGAACTGGATGGATGCTCTGTTGCCTCTTAGTGTCCCGGTATAATTGCATCTGGTGCCCAGGAAGGAATGTGGCTCTCTGTAACGAGTGGAGCATTGAGAACTCCTCCCCAGGCCACCCCGCTGGTTACAATGCGAGCCAGTCCTCGTTCTCAAAGCCACCTCAGATCCTCTGAGAAAGTAATTAGAAAGTTTAAGCAATTTGTTTAGTCTGTCTTACACCTTATTTCAAAGTAGCTCTCGAATTGATAGAATACTAATAAGTATTTCCCTTTCTGAACATACTGTTCTTTCTTACAGGCAATCTGTACAGAAGCTGGTCTGATGGCCTTGAGAGAACGTAGAATGAAAGTAACAAATGAAGACTTCAAGAAATCTAAAGAAAATGTTCTTTATAAAAAACAAGAAGGCACCCCTGAGGGACTGTATCTCTAGCGGACCACAGCTGCCTTCAAGGAAATGATTGGGGTTGTCCCGACCCCTTGAAGGGATGGGAGGTTGGGGAAGTTGCCCAGAGGAACCCATGTTCCAGCTGATCTTTCTTATTAGCAAAACCTCCTGTGTACCTTTTTGAGTGTGATGTGTAGCATGCCCCCGAGGCTGCCTTCATCTGTTGGTCACGTGCAGTGCTCTGTCCCTAATAAAGCGTGCTCCTTCTCAAACTCCTGTTTCTGGAGCCTCCACGCCTGGCGCTCAGCAGCAACAAGCAGGTGGACCTGGGCATAGGGAGGCTTCTGGGAGGTGACAGGGAGTGCAGACTTCCAACACCTCTTGCCCTGCCTCACACGCCCAGAGCCGGTGGCAGAGCTGGACAGCAGCTAGTGGGAAAGCAGGACCCCTAAAGCCAGTGGTGGGCTCTGCCGCTGAGGAGTATGGCTCTGGCTTCAGAAGGAAACAGCTTTTCATTTTGGAAGGTCTGGAGCCTGTGGGTTCTCAGCACTCTGGGGCAGGAAAGGAGTAGTGGGGTTCCTACTACGACTCTCCACAGGCCCTGGCTGACGTCCCTCCCCCTGCCCTGGCATCCCTCATTCTCAGGTTCAGAAACCTCATCCGTCTCCAGGGTGTTCAAAACCACGTCAGAGCTTCCCTTCCCCATCTGTTTCCAGCACTCCTCTCCTTTCTGAGCAGGTCTGTGTGTGAGCCAGGGAGTGAGCCGGGCAGACACGGCAAGCGTCCACATGGCTGGCTGGCCGGCCACCTTCCTTGGGGGCTCTGACTCGCCAGCCTCCTTTTCCAGCTGTTTTGCGCCAAAATTCTGTTCCACGACACTGGCTTTTCTGGATGAGATGCCAAAGAACGACAACGTTGGCAGTTAGAGGCATCGCGGTTTTGAGAGCAGGGCCTCAGCGAAGAGAAAGCAATTTCGTCCTAGTTAAATATTAATGGTTAATAACTGCACGCATGTCCTCTTCAGAAGAAAGTGGTCTGAATGTGGATATTCACATTTCATTCCATTCATAACCCCTCAGACATCAAGAAGGCAGCCAGTGCGGGCCTCTGTCCCGAGCAGCGCTGCCGCACCCACATGAGGGCGTCGCGCGGCCAGGCTCACAGGCGGGCAGGGTCTGGTAGGAAGCCACCGCTCCATTCTGCTCTGCTCGGATGGCTGCCCGCGTGCCCCCTGCAGCAGGGGTCCTTCCCACACCTGGGTGCTCCTAAGTCTCCAGGGGTCCTAAGTGCGAGGCTGCAGCGCGCCCAGGCGATGCTGCTGGTCCACAGCTGGGAGGCGTCAAGAAGAGCTTAGGGACCATGAGACGCTTCCTACACTTGACACAGGCCGGAACACCAAGTTCTCAGGGACTCCAGTGCTGTGGCCTGAAGAGAAGAGCAAAATCCGCTCTCCTGCTAACCAGCCTGGGGAAGAGGTTCTAGCGTTGAATCACCAGACCTTTCCTATCATGACCGCAAGATCCAGAAACCCTGGCAGGGCCGCCAAGAAGGCCAACCAACACGGCAGACTCACCATGGCGGGGCTGGGGGGCGCAGAGGAAGAGAACACACTCGCACATGCCAACCACGAGAGGTTCTGTTGTCACGGGGCATAATTCTTACCTACATAGTCACATATATAATATGTAAGCAATAGCTTCTGTGTCATTTGCACATCCAAAAAATGTGCAAGAGCTAAGAAACTGATGACCCAGGTACAAATTACTAAGAACGAAAGCTAGACTTGGAAAACAGAGCCCCTGGAATACACGCACCTACGCGTGCCCCGTCCTTTGCAGCCTGGCCCCGGCGGGGCAGGCGGCAAGGCCTGGAAGGCAGGGCCTGTTGAACACCTCCTGGTCTCTAGTCCTCGAGCAGAAGCTCCAATTCCTCCATGGGCAGGCGCACCCGGAGCTCCTTCTCCGTCATCAGGTCCAGGACCTCCTGCATCTCTTCAGGGAAGTGCCCCACGGCATCCAGGTACAGCGCCTAGGGCAAGGAGTTCTGTGCTAGCCAGCCTGCCCTCCCCAGCGCCGTCCGGACTCGGCAGCGCCCCGGCACCTGCTTCCGGAAGGACACCGAACTCAAAAGCGGGGGTGGAAGTAAGTGGACCCGAGCGAGGCCTTCTCTTTCTAAAGTGGGACAGGACTTGGTGGACAGGACAGTCCCCATTTCTGAACACGGCCTGACTGGGCTCGCCAAGGCAGACTTGGGCCACAGGCCCCCCCAGTGTGAGCACCTGGGCTGAACTCTGGCAGATGATGGAAACCCCCTGCCTGCAGCAAGGCCCCCATGAAACACCAGCCCGGGCGCAGGGAGCGGACACATGCCCATCAGCCGAGGCTCCATAAGGGACAGGTTCCCTATGAAACGGTCTGGGATGTGCCCAGTCGCCAGTGACACGGAGGGGTGGGCACCGAGGCAGGAAGGGCCTTGGGCTTGTGCGGATCTCATGGTCTCTGGGACTTACCTTTGCCCAAGGACAATTCTGAAGTGCTTTGTAGAACACGCCTTTGCTCCTTTCTTTGTTTCCCAAGGAGACCTGAGGCAGAGGCGGGGGAGAATTACAAAGAGGATTAATTGAAGCAGAGTCCGAGGCCACAGGATCCAGCCTGTCCACCCTGTCCTGATCCACGTGGGGGCTCAGAGGCAGCCGCTGGGCGGGGGTGCTCGGGGCCACTGCTGCGTGGCTTTTCCCCTGCACCGATGGACCCGGAGGGGACCCGGCCCCCCGACGTCGGACTGGTCCACCTTCTTCATGGGGGCCATCGTGCCTTGCATCAGAACGGTGCCCAGAAGGAGGCCGTGTGCGCACGACCAGGCTGATGACTTTACACACACAAAATGTCTGCTTTAACGCTTGCCGTTTTCTAAGATCTTAGAGGAATGAGGTAACCGGCATCACTGAATCAGCACCTTATTAATAAAAATAGACTTCTGGTCAGGAATTTCAGCCTGAGAGCGCGCAGATATACAGCATATTCTCTCTCCAAGTATAATATCCTTAATCCGAACCCCTAGACACACTGCTCCAGTTTCCAGTGGGCATGGAAAGGGCACATGTGTCCTCCCCACCACCCCCGGATCCGGGTGTGTCCTGGTCCCAGGAAGGGATCTGTCACTCAGCGGCTCCTTGAAGGCACCACAGCTCAGCAGGGCCGCCCCCCAGGCCAGCAGAAACCTGCAGCTGTGAATGGGCACAAGCCAGGCTCATGGAGCTCAAGTCTTTCTGGGCTTTCTCCCCACCCACCTCCTCCACACTCCCATTCCCACAGGGAGAGCTTTCTAGTGGCCGCTGGCTCTTCCCACCGGATGGCCAGCACGTGGCATCTGGCACGAGACTGACCCCCAGAACCTGGGGGATGCATCTAGAGACTCCAGCCTGTGGCTTAGGAGCTCTGTCCACCAAAGATAGCCTCCCTTCCTTTGCAGTTCCTTCAGATTAACTCTCACAGAAACAGGGACTAACTTTGGGCTACAGCCACCCCCAGAGCCAGCCGCGGAGCCCGGGGGACTCCTGTCTTCCCTCCCCTCCAGCCCTTCCGAGGCTGGACCTCTCTTAATTCATACGCAAGGAACAGTGTGAGCTGTCCCTCCTTCACACACCAGAATACTTCAATATCCTCTCATAAACTTAGGACACGGTTTCCTTGTTCTCGGAAGAAGGAAAAATTGTAGTACTGTCCATTCTCAAGCCCTGTATTTGTGAGGCTCACTGATAACCCTGGAACCCAGCAAATTCAGGTACATCGGTTGGCTAGACTCCAATGAACACTGCTCTCTGCGATTCCCTTCATCAGCCACTGGAGAACGCCTAGGCTACCGGGTATGGGAGGGCTCCATGCCAGGCGACAGCGCCGTGCTGACCCTTGGTTGTCTCCACGCAGGATCTCATATTCTGAGACCCAACCTAGTAGCCACCCTCGGCCTCTCCCGAGGGCAGAGCCTCCCCTGGGAAGACGAGCTGCCCTGGCTCTCTGCGTCCGTCCTCACCCTCTAAGTTTCCTCGTCCTGACAACCCGTGCCTTCTGGTACCATTCCTAAGTCCAAGCTGAAGCAAGAGCGACAGGCGACTCCCACATGCTATGTGACCCCACAGCATCAGGACGGGGTGAGCACAGAACCAAAGGGGACGCAGCCGGGGAAGGAGCAGAGCGTGGGGGCCACGACCGACGTATGGCCGACTGGTCTGCAGAGTGAAGGGGTGCCAGGGTCTCATGCAGAGGCCACTCTAGTCAGGGAGGGAGCCTCACACACACCCCAGGAGGGACCCGGCCAAGAGGACCCCGGCGACCGGAGGACACAGTGAGTGGGCACAAGACAGGCTCATGGAGCTCAAGCCCTGTGGGCCGCCCCCCCAGGCCCGAGCCCGGAGAGCAAGAGGGCCTTGTGCAGGGGCCACTGCCCCTCCACGACAGCAAGTGCGCAAGCAAGGGATCACCTCCTCGGCCCCCGTGTACCCTCCTAGCTGGCGCGGGTCGCCCCCAGCCGGCGGAGGCAGCATCGGGGGAAAGGGAAACGCCTGAGGGGCTTTGGTAAAATTTGATTCTCTTTTCTTATCTGGTTGTAGACAAATGTGAGCAGCTGTTAGTGAATACAACTTTTTTAAAGTAACTTGACCCAACTGATACCCAACCCAAACAAAAAGCTGTTTCCACAACACCCGGAGTGCTCCCGGGAGGAGGCTTACGTCCCCATGACCAGCAGAGTGAACCGAAGATGACTCTTCGCCCTCCCACCGGCTCTTCTAAGCGCTGGCCTTTCGATGCAGGCTGACCTCTGCCCGCTGCCAACACGGGGGAAGAAGAAATGATGCTGGAGGGTAAAACAAGCCAGGGACTACAGAGGGGCCACGGCTCCTTCCGTTTGTAAGATTATTTCACCAGCTAACGTTTCATACACTGTCCTTTCTTTCCTGATTGTGTAGCTGGATGACCAAACTAAAGAACTCTCACAATCTTGAAAAGCACTGCAATTCTGGGTGCCCGGCTGGCTCCGTCACTGGAGTGTCTGCCTTCGGCTCAGGTCGTGATCCCGGGGTCCTGGGATCGAGCCCCGCATCGGGCTCCCTGCTCTGTGGGGAGCCTGCTTCTCCCTCTCCCTCTGCCTGCCGCTGCCCCGACTTGTGCTCGCTCTCAGATAAATAATCCTTAAAAAAAAAGAGAGAAAAAGAAAAAAAAGAACTGCAATATTAGCCAAAACAACAAAACGAGGTTTGGCAGAACGTGTTTACACGCGCAGGGAGAACGGCGCATTTGACAGCGCCCGTAGCAGAGGTCTCAAGCGGAGCCCCAGCGTTAGTGGGCGGCGTTCACTGGCCAACCCCGTCCCTACCCACGTGCTCCGTGGCCAAGCAGCAGCTGTAATCCCTCCATCACTTCTGCAGGAAAAAAAGCAAGTGCATTAAATAGGCTTCCGTGCATGTAGATCTACACGTGTGTGCACACATGTGCACACACACACACACACACACACACACACCCAAAGCACCAGCTCTCCTCCGCGGAGCCGGTTCCCTTCGGCCCTCTCCTCACCTTGCATTCTGGCCCTAACTGGACTTTTTCACGGGGTTATCAAAGCCTCGGGAGCCAACCCAGATGCCTCAGGAGCTGCAGGAGAAGTCATGCTCAAACTCGTCCTTGGTTCAATGCTACCTTTCCAGAAAGACAGAAATTCCTTAAGGGCCTCAATCTTCTCTTCCAAGTCAAGGAGAATTTTTCTACAATCCAACCAAATTTGGCTCAGGAAGATTCTCTGTAAAAATACCCTAAGTCCATCTTTGCCCTAACCACCTCTACTGACAACAGGGGAAGTTAAACTGGCAAGTCTGCAAGCCCTCCCTTTTCACATTTCAAGGTCCTTCATTTGCTTACAAAGACTCACACGGTATCGGCACTGGAAATTTGAGGGAGCACCTCCCCTGCTCCTTCGGCTGAGTGGTCCCACCACAGGAGCGGCGATGAAACGGGAAGCTGGTTCTCCGGACTGCGGTCTGCCTAAGCTGTACCCCCGCCCCGATTAACAGGCAGCAGCCACGAATGCGCTGGGAACTCACCATCTGGATTTCTGAAGGTTTCCATTTCACACACGGGCGAAATATAAAACCGGAGCTTTTGGGTCTGATGAATAAATGTTAAAAAAAAACAAAAACTTTTGGGCACCTGGGTGGCTCAGTAGGTTAAGCGTCTGCCTTCAGTTCGGGTCGTGATCCCGGGGTCCTGGGATCGAGTCCCACCCACATCAGGCTCCCTGCTTGGTGGGGAGCCTGCTTCTCCCTCTCCCTCTGCCTGCCACTTCCCCTGCTTGTGCTTTTTCTCTTGTCAAATATATAAAATCTTACATAAAAAGAAACCATACAGACTTGGGTTGGTTCATCTTGATGCCGACTTCTGCCCGCAAGGATGTGCCTCCTTGTCCTGGGTGTGCCGGGAAGCTGCTGTCATGACATGCGGTGGCCCCCCTGCCATCGGGAGTCTAAGAGCTCAGGGGAGGCACACCAAGACGAATTCCAAAATCTCAGATGGGGAAGGCCCAAAGCTCTCCCAGCCCATAACACTTTCTCCACATCTCTTTATACCCAAGTCTGTCATGTGCTGATTGGTAAAGTTCAAATACTTTGACTGCCTTGAGAATTTATCCAGTGCAAATAATCAGAGAGATAAGGAAGGTCACTCCTGGCCTCTAAAAAGTACAATATTTATTAGAGATCACTTGGGTGTGATTTAGTAGCCTCCAGCTGAAACACTCAAGTGGCCCAGGAGACTACATTTCTGAAAAACCACACAACTTGCCAGATGTATTCCAGGAAATGAGGCATCTCAACGCCAGGTCCTTAACCAAAGGCAAAGTCACCACCTCACAGACTCCGCAAGGCCCAAGAAGCGCCTTTCAGCCCCACACACACGTGACCACGATCAAACGGCATCTCCCCGTATTCAGTCGCTAACGACGGGTACTTCTACGTGAAAACAAAGCTGCTCTGCAGAGGCCTCTTGTCAAAACTACATTCTAGGGTGAATCCTACCTTCAATGACGGAACAGAATCAGAACTTGGGAATTCTTATGAACAGAGGGCAGAGAATGAAGGTCTCTTTCCAATGAAAGCTCTTAGGCCATTTCCAAGTTGTTGGCTCAAGGAAGTCACCTCCGAGAGAGCCACATTAAGTTCTGCTGCGCACAGCCCAGGGATTATTCCTATCACCCGACCAAAGCGCTGAGGAGCGATGCAACCTGCGTCCCCCTCCCGAGTCCAGAGAGACCTGACATGACTCCACCAGGGTTCTCAGAAGGATTCGTCGAGGCCGAGAAGGTGTGGGGGGAAAAGTAAGCCCCTGCCAGCTTTCCTGGGACGTGGCTCCTGGACACCCGCACGTTCTCCCCTCTGAGGAAGCAGCGGAGGCTCGGCAGGAAAACAGACACTCGAAACATTTTCTTACCAGAAAGTTCAAATACATTCTCCACAGTAAGGGGCACTGGCTGCCGTTGTCACTCCGCAAAGCATTTTCAAACAGGGCTTTGATCCGATGCGTCAAGCCGGTCTCAGGAATTGTGGCGTGGACCTCTCTGCCACCCACCCTGCAAAACAAGGCTCATGTGACCCCGAGACCCGTGCTCGCGCCCAGGGCGCCGGCGGAGGAGGTGCGCCAGCGACAGCAAACGTCAGCTCCGGCAGGACCAGCGTGTCAGGGATGGTGCCATCCCCCGGGTCTGGCGGCGCTGGGGGCGAGACTGCAGACACGAGGCCCCCCCCCCGCCCAAGGCCAGAGGAAGGCAGCGCCCAGGGTTCCGTGTTCTCTAGGCCAGAGTCCACCCAGGACTCACAATCTCCCTGCGTCTCCGCTTTCGAGAGCCAAGCCCCCGCTTTACTGAGCAGAACGCAAATGCTACCTGGCGGGAAGGAAAGTCCTTTCAATTTAGGGGATGTAGCGAGAGTAAAATCCCAGCGGAAGAAATAAAAAACAAAGTGAAACACTCTTCAGAGGCGCCTCTGAGGCGTCCGCTGACACGAGGCCAGAGCGAAGCCACCGCCGAAGCACTCCCGGGAGGACACATGCACATCAAGAGACGACACGGGGCGCGCGATGCCGCCATCACCAGAAGCAAGAACGGGGGCCGGGAATTCCTTCCCTCCGGGCTCTGTGCTCGGCACTTCCGTCCCCGGCCCCGCCGAGCAGCCCGCACAGGAGGCGGTGTCGAGAGGACGGGACTCGCCTGAGGCCACACGGCCAGGCCGGGGAAGCGCTGGGGTCTGAACCCACAGTCCCACCCCGGAGCCCCTGCTCTGGCCCGGGGACGCAGCTACGCCGGCTGCTCAGCCAGGCCCTGCGGTCACGGCAAGCACAGCGCAGGGTCTGCGGACACACGGACGTCCGTGCTCACCTCTGAACGGTCTCCACCAGCCTCTTCCTCAGCTTCTCGGCTTCAATCGCAAACAGCCACGGCTCCAAGGGTTTGGCAGACCTGGTGATGGCATCGAAGAATCTTCTGGTCTTACTGGCCGCGTGGGACCGACTCTGAATCTGTACGTAGGCCCTCCACAGAACCTGGTTGCCCGGGTACCACCGCAAGGCGTCCGAGAGCACCTGCCGCAGAGGAGCCACGGGGCAAACGCTGACTCTCGCGTGGAAGCGGAGCAGGCTCGTGTGCGTCAGCGTGACGGCCTCGAGACCGCGGCCCGGCCTCTGCGCGCAGCCGGGCTCGTCCGGGCCACAGCCGCCCGGGGAGACCGAGCCCCGCAGCTTCGCACACGCCTGCTCGTAGAGCCGCACGGCGGCATCGATGCCCACGGTCAAATACTGGAAGAGCATGAAGCACTGGAGCGGGCCGGTGAGGCGGTGACAGGCGTCGGCGGGAGCCGGACCGGAGCCACAGCTCTGGCCCCAACAGTCCTGCAGCGCGTGTTCGTAAGCCTTCCGGGCCTTCAAAACGTGAACGGCCAAGACCGGCCCGGAGTAGGGTGTGTAGGGACCATTCTCCGTCAGTCTGGTCAGTATGTGGACGGCTCGGGCCGTGGCGGCCCCTCTCGCGGCCGGCGAGAGCTCCAGCTCCAGCTCCAGCCCCGCGTAGAGGCGGCCGAGCTCCCAGAGCTCGCACCCCCGCGGTTCTCCGCTCCCCGCCAGGCTGAGCGCCGTGTCGAACACCTTCCTGGCGTCCTCGGTGTTGCCGAGCAACCACTCCAGATGTGCGTACTGCTTCCAGAGGCAAAAATTGTTGCGGTTTTCTGGCTCCTTAAGGAGGTTTTTGGCGAGTTTTTTGCAGTTCTTTCCTTGCGACTTTAACCTCTTCTTGTTTTTGGTGTGCAGACACCAAATGACCTGGAAGTAAAAAGAAAAGGACTCCCAAGTGCTCTGTCATTTTCAAGCAATCCCTTTGTCCTGTGCACTTCAGAAAGCGACACGGGCGTCTATACTTCCTTTCTTCATCACATGGTTGCTAAACACTTAGGCCCTCTGAGCTGGACAACATCAGGATTGAACCAAGGCCACTGGCACCCCCAAACGACCGCATCCAGGTTTCCACCGGAAACCTCGGAAAACAAGGCTCGTCTGCTCCAAGTATCCTTCTCCAGCGAGAGGGGGGCCACCAAATTTCCTCGCACACTTGTTTCATAATACGTCCTGGTGTGCGCAATCTGCGTAGTTCAGGCGCAGAGCTCTGGGCATTAGAGTCAATACTAACTGGCGGCCAGGAGAGGGCAGAAGAGTCCATCCTAGAGGAATTTCTCGCAGATAGATGCGAAGAGCAGAGTAAGTAGCTTAGTTTATCTTTTAATAAACCCCGAAATCCCCTAACCCCTGCTTAAGCTTGGTTCTTCACGCTAACTGCTCGTATAATCCCAGACACCTGGCAGAGGAGCGAACACAACAGCTCTGGTCACTGACGAGCTGCGCACCCCCGCTTTCCTCCTGCCCTCCCAGCCCCCCCGTGGGGCGGCCACATCCTGGGGCCTTGGGGGTCCCTGAACAAGGAGGTGCCGAAGCCCGGCGCTTGAGGAACACCAAGAGCCCCGCGATCGTTTCTGAAGCCCCCTCGCGGGGCGGGGGAGGCCGGAGTTACCTTTGCCATCTCGTACTGTAGCCAGGAGAAGCAGAGCTGAGACCTCTCCTGGCCTGAAAACAGAGGCATCACAAGGTGAAAGATGTTGCGGATGAACTCCTCGCCCTCTCGATTGTGCCCACGGGTCCAGCGGCGGCAGCCCAGTGGATCTGAGCGGCCAACACAGCTGACGCCGGAAAAGCACAGGTTGAGAAAAGTCAGTGGCTTTTCATCATGAAGCCCGTTATCGAAGATGCTGTCCTCATCCATGGCCAGGTAGAGGCAGGAGGCCGGGGGGCTGAGGCCAGAAGGCACGCCCAGGAACTGCAGAAAGGCTGCAACCAGCTGAAACTGAAGATCCCGGCTGGAGAGCTGGATCAGAGACTGCGCAATGTCATCGAACAGCACCTGTAACCGAGACACGGTGAGGTGGCCCGCCCGGGAGCGCGGTTTGTTCACCGCGACAGACAAGCGACAAGGCTTCGCGACTTTCCCCAACAGCTCCTTTTATGTGGATGTGCTAATGATTCAACACTGTTCCAATTAAATTTTGAACAGACAAGAGCTAGGTTTCCCGCAAGCTGCAAAAAAGCTAGAGGCCTCGCCAGGTACTGGAGAGCTGGCGGGAGCTGGTGGCGTTCTAACGCTGCCCAGGCACCCTCAGGAGGAGGGAGGGCCGTGAGCGGGCTTAAGCCGAAACCTTCCAAAGGAGCCTAGTGGATTCACAGAAAATCTAGGATCATATTCCCTTTTGAAAGCAGACATAATTGCTTTTGTAGTTACTTTAATAAATTACGATCGTCAAAACTGTTTATTAAGATAGAAGATAAGAATTTTATCATTTGGGGGCACCTGGGTGGCACAGTCGGTGGAGCATCCGACTCTTGGTTTCGGCTCAGGTCCTGATCTCAGGTTGTGAGATCGAGCCCCGCATCAGGCTCTGTGCTCAGCAGTCTGCTTGAGATACTCTCTCTCCCCCTCCACCCTTCCCTCCTTCTCTAAAAATAAGTAAATCTTTAAAAAAAAAAAAAAAAAAGAATTCTATTATTTGGTGGTTTCTTCATATAAAATTGCTTTCAGAAATGAAAAATATGCTCAAAGGCAGATAAACAGCAGCAAGGGAGGAAGGACACTATCATCCATGGGCCGTGGTAAGAGCAATTCTAAGACATAATGCTAACTGTACATGTCCGTAGCTGATTTCATGCAGTCACTTTAAAGTGTAAGGCCACGGACACTGGCCTCTGTCTCAGGGCACCGCTGACCTACTTGGTCTCCGAGGCTCCCAGCAAAGAGGAAACCAAAGCGTGAGCACAGTAAAACTGGACTTCCTGGGCTCGGACTCCTCAGAATTGTCAACTCATCAGAAAGCTTTTCTCCTCCAGGCACTGATTAGACAAAAAGCTAAGTGACAAGAAACTGCTCACAGCAGAAGCTTGCTCCAGAAACAAGCTTCCAGAAAACCGCCAGAACTCTGAGCCTCGAGAACCAGCTTCTGGAGAGGTGACCCTGAATGGTGTAAAACCCTCAAACACCGAAGACCCTGCTCTTCCCAACGCATGCAGCGCCAGTCAGGAAAGGGACATCCTGTGCAGACTCGCCTCACAGCAGGCCACACACCAAACATCCCAGAGCTGAGCGGCGGTTTCCCTGGCGTCGGCCCCTTCTTCCCGCCCAGAGCTCCCCAATTCCCTGCATCCTAACCCCATTCGCCACTCCTCAAACATTCCGGGCACGCATGCTGATCCCTGTGCCTGGAGCAAAAGACCCAGCATCGAACAGTCATTCAACATCCAGGAACACTAACTGAGCACAAGAAAAGCACTATCCGTGCCCTGGTGATCCAGCAAAATCCCCACCCTCGGGGCACGTAAATCGCAGGAGGGTCGCAGACAACCGACCAGGCCTCAGCTGGGGAGCCTCACGACCGCAAACACCTGCTGGTTTGTCCCTAGAGTGCGTCACATGCCAAGCAGTACGGCTGGGGTCTTAGGAAACTGGGTCCATTTCAGGCTCCAAATAGAATCTCTTCCTTTATTTTAACGTAGAACGTCCAGAGCTGCTGGCCACGAGACAGGGTAGCATAGCCCACGTCATTCCGGGACAGTCAGTGAGACAACCGAAGTGCCTGGCGCACAACAGTGGCTCCAGAAACGTGAGCGGCTTCCCCAGCAACACCAGCTGTGTACGGACTGTCCCAGTGCAGCCTCGCTATCCAGTCGCCGTCCTCCAGAGTCAAACCGCCACGTCTCTGAGGATGCAAGCGTGCGGTGGGGAGAGCGGAGGGACAGAGCTAAATAACCTAGAACAGGGATACCACGTCTTGAAAACCCTGAGTCCTCAGGCTTCCGTGTGAAAAATTAACTGAGTGACTGGAAGACCATCTCTTGGAGGGGCCTTCCCTCCGACCTGGGGACGGGAACTATGCGGTCAGGTTCCTCCACGCTCCCACAGCACCGGTGGCCGGTGAGGCTTCCAGAGACAGGAACGGGAGCAGGCTAACCTCTCCCAAGCCAGGCAAGTGCCCCGGGCGCTCAGCAAGCTTCCTGCAGGTAAGCAAAGCCCGTGGCAGTGGGGAGAAGGGAAGGACCCCGCGGCTGGCCTCCCTCCCGGGGTGGGACACTCGCCTGTCTCTCTGGGTCCTCACAGTCTTCCTCGGTTTGCTTCTTGGTCTTATCAGGGCGCCACGGCCGCCAGTGCCTCTGGTCTCGGGACCGCTCGGCGGCGAGCCAGATCTGCCACCTGGGCAGACTCTTATTGCTTATTTCCTGGTCCTCGTCTTCTGGTTCATCATCATCATCATCTAGACGAGAGCAAAACTTTTAGCTCACCTCACCAGCAAATAAAACCATCACGGATGCCCAACCAGTCTGCAACACCAGCTGCTGTGGTGGGCCTCTGGAGGGCCAAGACGAGTTAGAGCCAGGCCCGGCCTTCTGGAACGTTCAGGGACTCAGAGGCATTGAGGGACTCTCCTATCACCAGTCAGGTTCCCAAAAAACCCTGGCAGGTTAGCCAATGGAATCAGATGATTTTTAATGCTATCATAGCAATTAAAATGGAACACACATATTCTAGAACAGCACTGTCCGACAGAACCTTCTACGATGATGACATAACATATACCTTCTGCGTAATGTGGTAGCAACCAGCCACATGTGACTTAGTGGGCACCTGAAATGTAGCTGACGGCAGAACTCAATTTTTTATTTCATTTCATCTTAATTTAATTAAAATGGCCACATGTGGCTAATGCCTACTGTACTGGACAACATAGTTCCAGGACGCTAAATGACACTTAGTAACAGCACTGGTTTAGGTTTCCTAAAGCCATCAGGATTTTCAGCCAGTGGCCTTATGATCACACCCTGTGTTCACTTCTCAAAAAAAGTCAATTCAAGATATCCTGTACTTTCACTTTGTTTCCTAACTCTGAACATGCAGAATGGAAGAGGAGAAAAGTCTTGAGTCTTCTGTAAAGTTCAATATTTAAAAATAAACAAACAGGGTATATAAAATGGTATGGCTACCCCAGAAAACAGGTGGGCAGTTTCTTATAAAATTAAACGTACGTTTATTTATACATGACCTGGCAACTGCACTCTTGGATGCTGATCCCAGAAAAATGAAAACCTACGCGCACACAGACGCCTGTACACTAATACCCACAGCAGCGTTACTCATAACGGCCAAACTCTGAAAACACGCCCAGTGTCCCGCAGTAGGTCAACAGTGAAATAAACCGCGCGGTATGTCTACACCATGGACTACTACTCATGGTAAATGCGAAAAAACTACAGATGCGTGCAATAATTCGGATGGATCTCGGGGATGACACGAAGGGGAAAAAAGCCAATCATAAGAAGTTACACAGAAAATGAATGTTGGTGAGCATATGGAGAAACTGGAACCCTTGTGCACCAATGGTAGGAGTACAAAATGGCACAGTCCTGTGAACAGTATAGCGGTTCCTCAAAGAATTTTATTTTTTCTTTAAGATTTATTTATTGGTGTGCCTGAGTGGCTCAGTCATTGGGCGTCTACCTTCGGCTCAGGTCATGATCCCAGGGTCCTGGGACTGAGCCCCACATCGGGCTCTCTGCTCAGTGGGGAGCCTGCTTCTCCCTCTCCCGCTCCCCCTGCTGGTGTTCCCTCTCTCGCTGTCTCTTTCTCTGCCAACTAAATAAATCTTTATTTTATTTATTTATTTATTTTTAAGATTTTTTTTTTTT